TTATGTTTTGTGGATTGACTTTATCTGTCTTCGTATAGTTTTGTGTGAAGCACTTTGAATTGCCTCGGGCACTAATTGTGCTATACAAATAAACCAGCCTTACCTTTTTTGTTTTGTTTTGTTTTTTAAATTCTATTAATGTACTTTTAATGTAGTCATAGGGGCATCAAGATGGAGCCCATGAAATTCTTTGGGTGCACACAAAATATTTATAAAGGCTAGTTGAAAACTGTGAGAATGTGAGACTTCCCATATATGTTAGTTTCTTGTTAATGTTGCTGATCATCTGGTGTGCACAGGAACAGTTAACATTTTGGTTATTTGGGTGACCACTGCTCAAAATGGCCCAGGAGAAGATTTCAAAATGGAGAATTCTGTCCATGTTTGACAATAATTACTCAGACATTGCAGTTGCATTCAGTGAAACTTTGACATCAGAGTTTCATTAAATGAACTTGACATCTCTTGGCACTTCTAACTGGAGGAAAAAAAAACGTGGAGCGCAGTGAGCTACCAAAGGACAATAACACAACCCTGAGTATATGTCCTATCCCCGAAGACACTGCTACTGACAGTATTTATGAATGAACGGATTCATGAGGGATTTTAATTTATTTATCATTCCAGAAACACTGAAATTCCTGCGATGCACCAAAATAGATGTTTTTGCACTAAGGGAAATGCAACACCTGTAGTTAATTTATGGCCTGAGTTCAATAAATTGGTTTTCAAAAAGGAATAATAACAGTTATCATCTAATGGTTTAGAGATTAAACTCTTTATACGTGAACTTTAAACTCTTCATACGTGAATATTAAGCCTGTTGGCTGCCAGAGGAACATTGCCCGGAGCATCACAAAGCCTCTGTCGGCTCACCTTTTTCCTTTGACCACTTTTGGCAGGCTTCAAGAACTGACTGTTCACTTACTGCCTGATAGATAACACTGCTTAAAAGGTGCCATTGTAATGAGATAATCAGTGTTGTTCACTTCACCTTGTGATGTGTGTTTTATCTTTTATTACCAAAATCTAAAAACAAAGGTTGGAGGCGGTTACTCGCAAACATACATCTCATAAAGCTTCATTAGTGCTATGAGCACACACAGACCAATGACAGATTAAACAATCGGTACATACGTGCAGATGTGCAAAGCTGCCTGAGGTGGTGTTCGCAGCTTGAAATGTGTTTCATGTCTGCATGTATGTACAGATTTTTTCTGTCTGCCATCACTCCATATGTGCTTACGGCACTAATGAAGCTTTACTGAATGTATGTCGCTAAGCAACGGCTCCCAAACTTGTTTTTAAATGACCATATGAGCCCCAATGGAAGCTTTTTATGAGTGTTTTCCTTCCTCCCACTTATATAAGCACGTACATAAATCTAAAAAAAGGTGGAAGTTTGGTTTTTTTTGATGTTCTTTTTCCTTTAAAATGTGTTAAAAGGCATTTTTACAGGTGTTTAAAGAGTGTTTCTCAATGTTAAGTTCATTGATGGCGAGGAAACCCTTATGTTCATGCAAAATATAACATGTTTTGTTTTTGTTTTTTCAATATAACCAATGAACACAACATTAAGTAGCACTTCTATTTACAGTCCATAGACAGAAAGCCAAACACAGCTGACTTCAGAAAAGATTTATAAATGAAGCTCTTTAAATTGAAAAATTGAAGTAATTTGACGACCTTGGTAGGCACAGTGGTGGAAAGCAACCAACTACATTCACCCAAGTACTGTACTTGAGTACAAGTTGAGATACTTGCATTGTCACTAAGTATTTTCACTTTACTTTATACTTGAAATCCACTACATCTCAGAGAGAAATATTGTACTTTCTATGCTCCACTACATTTATCTGAAGCTTTAGTTGTGTTTAAGATGAAGATCTGACACAATGGATGATAGAAATTTCAAAATAAAACACATTGTTAAACACATTTTTAAACTTTTTTGGCTTCTTGCAAAAAACAATGTGTAGTTGGGGTCTCATTTCCGATGTGTGTGATTTGTCTGTACAGATTCTCAGTCACCCAGGTAAGAAGAGCTTCAGTGGAAGGCAGCTGGACCTCACTCTTTGTTTTTTCCTGAAGCTCCTCCTATGTCTATGAGTTCTTAACAGCTCCACCAAACAGCAATTCTTTTCCCCACCGTCTACATGGTTACTTTTCAATACCTCACCGAAAAAGACATTTTGCAAAAATCAAAACCAGGTTTGTGTATCAGAACTTGTTTTTTTTTTTCCTCTCTCGCTCAATAATCATCTGAATGATCTGTTCTTTACAATTACAAATAAAGGATCTCAAACCTACCTGGTGCTGATGCTTCACTATTAATAATGTAAAGATTAAGGGTTGACAGATACGGGTTTCTCGGGGGCCGATTCCTTGATTACTAGCATAACCAATATTTGGAACCAATGCACATTTGCGGCAAAAATGAAAATCTTGGTGTCAAAATCAAGAACAACACAAACTACAACACAAACATGGTCAAAATGTCTTGTGAAGTCTTTATTTGAGTCATGTTCCCCCTGTTGTGCTCATTTCATTTAGAAACAAAACCATTTTAGATGATTTGTCGTTCATGTGAGACAATTTAGGATAATTCACACGGCAAATTAAAAATTACAGATGTGGTACACAACAAATGTTTCCATTATCTTTGCAGACTCGCAGACCTGCAATGGGAGATAAATGCAACGAGTTTCAGATGTCCTTCAGGGCATCGTCACCCTGTGCCGTGGCCATCCACTCTGACTGCCAAGTGGCTTTAATGCTGGGTCTTTCCTTCAGCAGGTTGTAATATTTGGCCAGGTTGGGGTAACGTTCAGCAGACAGCCTGAAGACAGGACAAAAAGTCATCATGTCACTGAAAGAGCAGACTGGACTCAATCTTCCAGCGAAATCAGTCACCTACCCGAAACGAAATGCGTAGGCGATGTCAGGAAAGACGACCACATCAGCTAAGGAGAAAGGCCCCGCCAGGTACGAGCCTGAAGACACCTGGATGAGCAAATGAAAGAACCGCTGCAGTTAGCACGGTGCATGGCGTCTGCAGTTGTGTGTGAACGCTTCATACTCATACATTCTGCAGGTATCTCTCCCAGAGTTTGAACTCAGTGGTCAGCTTTTCCTTGTTTCTCTTCATAGTGGAGTCATGTTGCTCCCCCACAGGGTAATAGTAGTCGTAGAAGGCAACGTAACCTGAAACAGAACATCCAATATTACCATCATTAACATCGGTCTTATCCCTCTTCACTCTGTGCTAGTATTCGTGGACTCACCTATTTTAGCAGTGAGGAGGATACCCTCCATCAAGCGCTGGTACATCAGAGCTTGTTGTGCAGGACTGTCAGGAGTCAGCTTGTTGCCCTGAGACTTAAACTGGCTCTGTTACGACAGAGAAGAAGAGGATCTGACTTTAAAGTCAAGAAACATATTGTGTACCATTTAATATGTTTCACTTTTAGTTTCGGCTGTTTACCTCAAGGTACAAACATGCTGCAGCGGACTCGTTCACTATGTTGTCTCCATGTTTGAATGCAGGGAGCTGGAGGAAAGAAATTGCGATGATGATAAGATTTCAGGATTTAGACTGGTCATTGTGCAGTGCAGTAGATTTGCACACCATTACCGTAAATGTGTAATAGGTTACCAGAGAGTGTATTGCATTGCCATAAATTTGCAATAAACACCTCTATATTTGATGTTTGGAGTTATTAGCATCATTACATGTCTCAATCGCTGCAATAACGGTAGATTTTTTCTCTTATCAACAATAAAATTAGAGGCCCCAAAATAGAAACTCAATGCAACAACAGGGAGTCCACCTGTGACAAGTCAGAAAACCTGTGATCATTGAAACAAAACAGAGCTCACCTTTTACACATTAGCCTAATTACCCAAACATGGTTAGAAAATGACCTATGAACACCTGAACTTTTTGTTTTTTAGTTTTGGACCTATGAGTTGTGTCGATCCGTATGCTTACATCATGGCTCGAAATGTAAAAGAATTGTCAGAAAAATTGAAAATCCTGATTGTGAGACTTCACAAAGATTGAAAGGGACACAGGAAGATCTGTGACCAACTAAAAATCAGCTGAAACACAGTTGCAGCAGTAATCAGGTTGTAGAGAATGAGCCAAGGACAGTGTACTGATTGCACAATGTGGCTCTGAAAAACAGAGAGGCAAGTGCTTCAGACTTCACAGGGGTTGTAGAAATCTGAGTGACAGCCAAGATAGTACGAAGGTCACTGCACAACATCAGCCTCAGTGGGCAGAATACAAAGTGGAGAAAGAAACTGTTGCTTGTTCTTTGGCATAAAACTGCAATTTTTAACATTGCAAGATAATATGAAAAAAAAAAAACGCTTGATGGATAATGACATTGAATTCTTTGAACAAGACCAAGACAAATCTGCACACTCAGATGGGTTCCACAGTGTTTTGTGAGAACCCAGTCAGGTACCATAGGGAATGTATCGTCCTGGCAGTGAAGCACAGAGGCGAGAGTGTGATGATGTTGAGCTGCATATAGCAGAATGCTGGCTGCCCAGATGACTCCCAGTCTGTTGACGCTTGGTAGAACAGGAATATTCCAACATGGTAATGATCCAAAACATGCTGCCAAAATCATACAAGAGAAAAACTATGACCTCACCAAGAATGTCACCTGAAATGAATCCAATAAAACACATTTGGGGTGTTTAAAAGATAAAGGCAGAGCAACACAACCCCTCCAGCACAAAGCAGCTGAAAAAAAATTGTCTGTGAAGAATGCAGAACATCTGTCCACAGTATCCTCCAAGCCGAGGAGGACTGTCCTCAAAAATGAACATGGACATAAAAAGCATTAAAAAAATAAAGGGTTTGAATCTTAGTATTGTACTAACTTTAGTTGTCGTGAGTTCATGAGGCGGTGCCTGTACTTTTGGTATGGGTTTAGTTCACGTCATTACAGTCTATCGTTCTACCTGGATTTACTTATCGAGGATTTTGGTCTTTTGCTTGTTTCTCTTTCTACAGGAAACTGTTCTGCTATCCAGAGATCACCCTTATGTATTTTAAGATCAGATGAAGTAAGATAAACTTTATTGAGCCCTCACTGGGGAGATTTACAAGCAACTTAATACTTGCATTTAAATACCAAATACAGAAATGATAGTTGCACCTACTGCCTCTATCATTTCAGTCTTTGACTAGTTGCTGATATAAATTCATCATTATTGCTGTACATTTTACTTCTACACCTACCTCGGCTCTTGGGTTGATTTCCAGGACTTCCGGAGATTTGTGCCCTCCTTCCTCAAAGGACAGCACCTTGCTTTCGTAGCCCTGCAGGTTCTTTTCCTCCAGAGCGATCATAACACGCCAGCATGGAGGGGATCCAGACCCCCACAGTAGCCTCATTGACTCAGCCATGGATGCAGGCACTACAGATACTACAAGCACTGAGTCAATGAAACACTAACAAGAGCGACACAAAAACTGCACAAATACTGTGAAGGGAGCAGCAGTTATACAGTCTGTGGCAGCTTAATAGTCCAAAGTTCGCTCGATGGAACCGCTCACGTAGTAGGAAATGACTCAGCAGATAAAGAAGTGAAAAGAATGACATGCACGTCTGCTTTTTTCACTCAGTTTGTTTTGTTTTTTTATTGCAGAATGTGTATACACAGCATTTCAAGTGAAAGTGTTTGTAACCATGTTTCCATGTTCAGTTCACTACATTTATGCAGTGATTCCCAGTTCTTGCTGGACTGTGAGAGGAGTGGACACTTCAGCCTGGATTTGATTTTTTTTTTTCCCACACTGTTACATGACCTGTTCAAGTTTATACAGAGTACGACATGACCACAGAGTTTAAATCAAATGTCCAAATACTGCCCTCAGCGAGGAGCAACACGGTAAAAACAAGGATTTCTGATATAACCATGTCTTTCATGAATTTTCTTCTTAATTACTATTCACAGAAAAAGCCTCTTTTGTTCCTTTTTTTTTTCTCAGACTATAATACAAGTTTCTACAGAAATTACAAAAATAATACATAACATGAACCGCACTAAACATGCATACTGTAGAAGTACAGTATTTAGTACCTGGCAGCTGACGAGGGCATTTACACATTTAATGCAGAATTCTCTGCAAGTCCTTCAAAATAGATTATTAAAATTTTTAAAAAACGTCCATAGCTTTTTGTCTTTTTACACTTTACAAACAGAGACAACAACTTCCTGTTTTTTTTTTTCTGTTTTCAATCAGTCGTTCTTTTCAGACTATTGATGTTAATTAAGGTGCAAGATGTCAGAGCTTTGCAAATAAATACTGAGAAAGTTAACTGTGCTGTAACTACACCTGTGAAGGTGACATGTGTGAGTCGTCTGAGAAGCAGGAGGTGAACACACAGAGAGAGATGGTAAGAAGGTGCAGCGCTGTCCCTTTTAAATAAAAGGCACTCATCAGATTGAAAACCTTTCACTCTTCCTACAAAACACAGCTACGCTCATCACTTTTCAAATGTGCAGCCACTGAAGCATTTTCACTTTGGATGATTCTTGCTCGCTTCTTTGTCTGTGTGACCTCCTGGGATCCTTTGAAACTGTGTAAGTACAAATTAAAATTCCTCTTTAGCCCGTTAATCTTATCTTACCAAAATTCACAGCTTAAATAAATGAAAAGTGGTGAACTCGCAGATGCAGAAACTCATAAGCAAAAATCCCTCTGGACTAATGCAACATTTAAAATGTGTTTCCATCCATTAAAAAAAAAAAAAAGTTTCCATTCAGTGTAGCGGCAGCATCACTGAATTAGACATTTGTTTTCCTTGCCAAACCGATGTGATGCGTTCTTGCTTCACCTCCACTCTTTCTCCTGGAAGATTGTTTTTGTTGTTTTGAATACAAAAAGCTTCTTCACTCAGTAATATTGGGCGAAAATTAGCAGCTGGCAAAAACCTACAGGGGCTCGTGGCTGGTGAATTACAACACTAGAGTGTGGCAAAGGCTGACAGAGATGTCGCATTCATAGCTGTGTTTCCACAACAGCGAGGACCGGTGACAGGGGGACGATCACATCTATGTGTCTGGAGCGTCAGTTAGCCCCAAAGCAAGAGCTTCCTCCGGTGTCAGACCGTTTTTCAGAGTCCGCCTCACTGTTAGAAGAGAGGAAAAGACAAAGCAAACGGTTATGACATGATTAGGCCTCTGCTTGAAGTGATACACAAAGATCAAGATGGTAATTGTATACAGTCGTCCTCTTCATACCCTTCCATTAAAGAAAAGGTAAAATTCACAATCGTCACTCAAATAACTACAAACTGAAAAAAATAATAAAAAATAAAAATTAGCTAAATTACAATTTAGTGAAATAAGACGTTGATTTTGAATTGTGGTTGAAAAGAATAATTTAAAAAACAAACAAAACAGTCCCAGACAAATTAGAGCACTTTGCTGATGAGCAGTGAAATCTAAATACCTGTCAACAGGTGCAGAAGTCTGATTGGGAGTTACAGAAAACACTTGATCGCAGTGATTGGCTCAAAGGGTTGTTCAACTAAATATTAGTTTACGGGTCCCATCATGCTTGTTTGCTTGTTATTTTGTTGTTGTTGTTTTTTTAAAAAGTATTTCTGTTAAACCACAATTCAAAAGCAAGGTCATGATTTTCACTACATTTTAAATTATTTTTATTTGTGTCAATTTCAACTTATTTCAGTGACAGCTGCTTTTTTTTTCTTCTTTAACGGGAGGGTGAATAAATTTGAGGACGACTTTATAAGCGTTGTGATGCACTGTGGTGTACTTGTCTACGCTAGCAGCTTATCTACAGGTGGTTAAGCTCTCAGCTCACACATCAGTTTTACTTAGTTTTAAACAGAAAACTGAGACAATCTGTTTTGTTTTGTGAGTTTTCACAGGGTTAGCAGCTGTTTCTAGCTCAGCTAACTGACTGTCTGCTGTACGTTCACATGTAACAGGCAGATATGAGAGTGGTGTTGATCTTCTCATCTTAACAAAACTATTTTTATATCAACAATCACAAGCTATTTCTGGCTGAGGTCTTCCTGGAGCTGCTTCACCACCACGTGGCCGGTCCACAGCTCAAAAATCTGTTTATCCTCAGCATGTAATGTTACCAGTTTGAACACACTACAAAGCCTGCCGAAAATTAGTACGTAGCATAGATATGGGAGGCTCCTTTAGGTCGTACATGATTTGCGGTTGGCTCTGGACCTCCTCCTCTCGCGGGGCTGGGCTCTGGTTCCTGGACCCTGAGTGGCCGACCTCACTATACGCTCCATGATTTCATCTGCGGCATCGTCTCCACAGATCTGAGTGTCCTCAGTAGGCGGCGTCCATGCCTGCATAGTGCGACCTGTATGAACAAATAAAAGTTTATTAATAATCAAAGAAACCCTTTTGAGAACACTAACTCTTATAAGGAACTTTCTGTCTCGCTCACCTCCCCGTCCTGGCCGTGATCTGGTCCGTGTCCGAAGGCCCGGTACCCCGCTGCCCTCCTTGTCGCCACCGCTGAGGCTGGTTCTCAGCACCGCTTTCATGTTCTCGTGTTCTGCAGCATCCTCAGCATGGTCCAGACCCTGAGGCTGCTCGCTCTCCTGGCTGCAACTGGGGGCGCTGTTGCTGCTGCTCGAGCCATATCGACCACCCTGCTGGAGGGAGACGGGATGAAAGAGGATCAGAATCTGGCTGCTCGTGCGGTAAATAATGTGGACTTTTGGACTCAAACAAGCCAGAACTGAAGCACCAAGACAAACATCCAACCTGTAAAGGTTACAGTGCCTGCTGTATCCTGTTAACTGATTCATTCAGATGTTAAAGTAAGAACTTTAAAGGAAAAGCAATGTAGTTACAGTTAGTGCATTCATGCACACACACACACATGCTGATACCTCGCGCTCCTCTTCATCATCCGACTACAGAGGAAATAAAGAGCGACAGTCAAAGAATAGATCAAAGAAAACAAAGAGGAAAAAGTGTAAAAAGCAGCACAAGATTTGGAAAAAGGAAGAAAAGGAAAGAATTTGTGTGCGTCTTTATGGAAGAAACTCTGCGTGTGTGATGCTCACAGGAGCGTTGACGTCCACGATCATCTTCCCTCGGGTCTTGTTGCGTTCGCGGTGGTCGGCGCGTTTCTGTTTCTGCTGCAGCACGCGGTCTCGGGTGGTCCGGTACTCCAGCGCAAACTCGCTGAGGATTTTACTGAACCTGTGGACGCTGATCTCTCTCACGCTGTAGGCCGGATGACCGAGGAACAAGAGGAAGGAGTGGAACCTGGGACGAGAAGGAAGAGAGAAGAAGAACGATGACAGTTGTCCCTTCAGCAGTCTCAATCTCAATTTTACAATGCTTTAGCAGGTAAAAACATAGTCATGATAGTATTTTAATGACTGGCAGCACAATTTTGGTTTCCCTAGACTTTACCTAGAAAGGCTTTCAAAGTGTTGGGAGGTGAAGTACCTGTTGATGATCCTGCGGTGAACAATCTTAAGGATGATGATTCTTTCAGCGCAGTCTTTGAGGAAGTCAGACATCTTCTGCTTCAGCTGTGGCTTCATCTCGTGCTTGGCGATCACCTTCAGGTGGTCCCATGAGGCTTTGCAGCGCCGCTCCATCTGATTCAAGTTCTCCTGCAGCTGGTCAAAGTCCACCTGATGGACAAGGCGATGAAAAAATGTAACTGACAAGGAAAGCACTTTGATCACGTTGCATCCAAAGCTGAACTTAGGAAAGTGCACTCAGTTGCTGTTTTGCATCCTGTCACTCAGCTAAACTGTGAAATATCACACAAGTCAAGCCTTTTTTATCAATAACTTGGTTATTTTTGGGACAATTTTAGAACAATCTGAAATAGTTTGACAAATGCACTCACCAAACTTCACAAATCAACCTTTAGAGAAGCATGACTAGCACATTGGATTACCCAGCATGCATTGTTTGAATGTGTAAACTCTTCAGAGGCATTCAAATCTGTAGTGCGCCTTTAAAACCTGTCAAATTCAGGAAGAGTTCTTCCAGAATATATAAAACAATTCAAACTGAGTAAAGCAAACAGTTCAGCCTCTCTCTCGTATAAAGTGACACAGTCAGTGGAGCATTTTGATGATGTGCTTTTGTCAGAACTGTGGAGCAAAGCAGGTCCAACGACTTTACAGCTTCGCGTGTCTTAATATAATATGCTCTGACTTGTTTGCTCACGTCCAGTAAGCTTAACTTGCATTGCATACAACATCTCTAATAACGGGTGTGGAGCTTACTTTTGCAGAACGTGTGATGGCTCCTATCTCGGAGTAGAGGTCGGTGCTCTGAGGGAAGTTTTCCACCACCACAGAGCAGGCATGGTGGAGCAGAGATTGCTTATGGACTGTGTCCTTCACCTCGGGAACCTTCTCCAAATACGTCATCTCAAAGCCTTTAGCCTGGACACATGAATGGTTTTTGAAAGAAATCATGATTATGCATTCAAATGTGACAAAAGCGTTCAAAGAAATCATCTGGCTCTTCTCTTCTAGTATGAACCTTAACCGTCTGAACCCTAAAACCTTCCTTTAAAGGATTGGTATCTTTTTTGAAAAATTTCCAAGACAACACCACTTATCAAAGTCTGGGGGGGCGGCTGTGGCTCAGCTGGTAGAGCGAGTCGGTCAATGATCGGAAGGCCGGCGGTTCAATTCTGCCCTGTAGCTTGTTTCATGGTCGTTGTGTCCTTAGGCAAGACACTTCACCCACCTTTCCTGGTGTGAATGCGTATGAATGGATTGCTTGAGGTGGTGATCGTAGGGGCCGTAGGCGCAGAATGGCAGCCATGCCTCTGTCAGTCTGCCCCAGGGCAGCTGTGGCTACAATCGTAGCTACCACCACCAGAATGAATGTGTGTGAATGAATAATTGACAGTGTAAAGCATCTTTGAGTGTCCAGAAAAGCGCTATGTAAATCTGATCAATTATTATTAAACCTGTAAAAACAGACTGACTTGGGAAATTTTCAACTTTATCTGTTCATCTGTGAAGAGCCGTTCCATCAGGAAATGCAAAATCACTCTATTCTACATGTCTGATTTAACTTTTTGCCAAAAACAAACGATTTTCACGACTCAGATTCTGATTTAACCTGTGAACTCATTCAGCTGAGACCAACAATCACATGAAAGACATTCAGGGACTTTTTAGCTGAACTTGGCTGAACTGCAGGCTGTGTTTACACAAAGCAGATAGAAGACAAGTATGGACACAAATGAAAAATGTAAACTATATCTACAGTTTGTAGACCAAATATTGTTGACACCTGTGGGTACTTGGAAACATGCTGTGCACATTGATTTGTTTTTTTTCAACAAATAATCAAAGAAATGTAACTTTATTGTTTTCTTTAGGATTTAGCCATTTTTTCTCTCCTTCTAGCCATGTTTGTGCTGTCTCAGTAGAGGAAAATAAAGCCACAGTGAGTAAAAATGGCGCAAATAGGACGTCTGATACAGTATTTGTAAACAACGTCTCTTCCTACCAAATGATATGTGTCAATTGGAAAATTCCCACTCCGTTAAAGTCACTGATCATGTTTCTAACTGCTACAAACTACTCCTACAAACAAAGGAGCCTTGTCATCGGGTCACACTATGACGACGTGAACCTGTGATAAGTCATGACTCACATTGGTGCCGTTGAGGAAGTTTCCAATTGAGAGCAGCGTAGAGAGGATGTAGCGAAGAGTCTTGTTCTTCTCCAGCTGCTCCATACCCTCCTTTAGATCTTGCAGTGGCTCTGCTACTTCCTGAGAGGAAAAAAAAAACACATGACACACACATCATTAGTTGTGTTCATTAGGACCCCCAAAAACATGTGTTTGCAGTTATGAGTGGTGAACAGGTGCACCTCATCCGTCACCACAGATCATCTGCTCTTGTTTAGGGTCATGGGAGGCTGTTTAAAGGCTGCTGCTTCGGTCAGCCTTCGCTATCAAACGTGCTTCTGATTATGTGGACCTTTATTTTTTTTTTTGTGGAGCTTGTTCTCTTGTGTGCATGTCCCCTTGTCCCTGCATGGTGTGTCGCCCTCCATTAAACCGCCCCACGGGGTCGAGTCGGGAGCGGCGCTATGCTGAACGCACGGTCGTGAACGGTGAGATTAAAGACAACTGCATCCTGCTGGAAGCCGTAAAATTTACAGGACATCAACGGAGGGGCAGCATGTTTCTCATTCTCTGGGTTTTGACTTTGAACTTCTCCTCCTGGATGCATTCTTTGCTCGAGTGTGCCAGAAGAAGACGAAGAAGTGGTGCTGCTAATAAGCGTGCATATTTTGTTATGATGTTACGTTGTAACTATGTTGATGTTTTGCGGATGTTGTTTGTACTAAAGGGATGTTGATACTTACTGACACGGGTATAAGACACACACCAAAGCACACATGCTGTGCACATTTACTCTGAACCTCGATGGTGCACAGTGTTCATTTAGCAAAGTCTGTTTCTGCTTTAATAAAAACCACTTTCGCTTGCTGAGGAGGATTTTAAATGTGCATTTGGTAACGGTTTGGTCTTTCCTCCTTGACAGAACATTCTTAAGAAAAGAATTTCAAATGTTCCTTCTTTCCTTCTTAATACTTGTATCTGACAGTTTTAGCTGTTAAAAGTACTTTCTCATGTGTGAACAGACCTTCTCTGTCGCCTCGTAGTCCATCTTAAAGGCCCAGAGCTGGAGTCTGGCAGACAGCTCGCTGATGGAGGACAGAGTGAGGAGAAACTGCTCTGCGGAGCCCAGCGGGACATCGGGATTGGCCAGCTGGGCCTCCTGGATCTTCTGCTTCTCCTCTTCCGTGGGGATCATCGTCAGAATTTTCTGAGAGGGACCACGGAGACATCAGGAGACGGCAACATATAGGGGTGATGTGTGGGAGGAGGGATTTGAGACTTTCTTCTCGTTCATTTTCTGAATTTCTCACCTCTATGCCCTCCTTGTTAAGTGCGTACTCGTCAAAGTTCAGAATGGCCGTCTTGATGGTGCGAGGCGGAGGGAGAACCGTCAGGCCGATGTTGATGGCGTTACTTCTCTTCGAATCCAAAACAATGATCTCCTGACGTTTGCCGTCGGCTGCTGTTTTCTGGGACACAAAAAGACAGAGCGGGTCAATGCCTTTTTTCTCCAACCTTGCTGCTTTTCTCCGTGTGGTCTGCTTTACGGGCTCCTAAGGATTAGAGGGATCATCACTCAGGTTACATTGACTGCAGCTGGGGGGACTATATGGGTAGTGGGGGCAGGAAATACCACCACAAGCTAGCTATATGTTCTATGTGTATGTGTGGTAGGTCTGTGGACATATTGTTACTATATGTGTACAGATGACCTCACCGGCAACTTGAGGCCATTATAAGCTATTAAAGGAAGGAAGTCATAACACGTCAACACCATCAGAGTAGGTGCTAACACCTTGTTACTGCCACTTGGGTATTGTATATTCCCCACATGGAGACCAGCAGACTCAAACCCCAGTACAACTCTTCTTTTAAGATGTTTCCTGTAGTAGTAGAACTAGTTTGGATTTTGAAGTTTCTAATTGTTAATGTTTAAACTACATATTTTCAATTCGTATGGTAAGAAAACCATTGGACAGAAGAAAAGCAACATTTAACCTCTGATGGCTTCAGTATACTGGTGGTCCTCTATCTTGGATTAACTGAGAGCCTTGCTTGAGCTGTTTCCCCATTGTAGCGGCAGACCACCATCACACTGTCACGTTACATGTAACCCAAAATCCAAGTAGAGCTGAGCTATCGACCGCTTCGGCTTTGAAACGGCCGCTCAGGAGTTCAAAGCGTGAGAGGCCTGCCTTCAGCTCCCCATCTTTGCGGACCATACTTTTCACATTAACAGGCTTTTTTGAGAATTACAAAGGATTCAAAACTGCCCTGTTTGATCAGGATCAAAACACACACGTGACCTTGCTTAACCCTTAAGACATCAGCTTTTAAGCATGGGAGATAATGGACACGAAACCTATAGAATGCTTGACTGGCAGAAGCAAGGTGTTGGTGTAAAAGTAGCGGTCAATCAAGTACAAAAATGTTACAGCGACTAAATAGAAAGTATGTGAACACCTGATAGACTTGAGGAGTTTACATGAGGAACTGACACAACTGTAAAAAACCTTATATAACCACACAACGTTAAGAATTTTATTAACTGTCTCGTGGTGGTGGTGGGTAGTGACCAGGATAAAAATGTCAAAAACAATGTTGTTCTAATTTGTTAAGTTAGCACCACTTTCAAGCAGCACTGATTCACAAACAAATTCAAATGTAATGCTTAAAAGTCGGGAAATTGAAACTTGACAATACTGCACACAGGTTGTAGGAGGAATTCTTAAAAAACTTTTTATCAAACTCCACTTACAAGTCACTTTAGTTTATGAAGAAATAAAATGACTAACATTATCTGTTAGCTGCCACTGAGATCAGTAGTTGGAGTCAAGGTATACATTCAGTTATACACAGTGAAACTATAAACTGATGCCTCCAACCTCTCTGAACCGGTTTCAGGCACTGCTTGTTTACCTTTGTAACTGGCATTTCCTTTGATTTCGTCTCAAACAGGTGTTCCAGTTTGGCAGTGTCTAACTTTACCGGTTCCAGTTTGGACCAGAATGAGTCTCCACTGCGCTTGTAGTCCTTGTACTGGCTGTCTGTCGGACGCACCTGATCGCAAACAAAAACAAGAATGGACTGCATTAGGTCGAGACATGTGTCAGACCGCCATTTCCTACAATAAAAGAGGTAAATGAGAGACTGTGAACACAAAGAACCACAAAAGGCAGCAGTAACAGGAACATGTCGAGTGAGTCATTGTTTCTGTTGAGTCCTTAATCTTAACTAGCTAATGAAAACATGCAGGTATTTTTAAGGAGTCTTTATCTTGGTCTTTAGCACAAGTATATCTGACAAAACAAAAATCTTGTGAAAGTATTTACAGTAATCGTGAATATTAAAAACTCATTGTAACAGTTCTGTCACCAATCTTAAAAGGTGGCATTTAAAGAATCAATGGCCAATGATGTGGTTTGTAAGAGCCGAACCAGGAAACATCCACTCAGTTGTGTTGTTGCACCGACGCAAGTGTGGTGCTGTAAAACTGTGCACATGCAAAGTATAACCTGTGAGGGAAAAATGCTTCTAACTTTATTTTAGGGCAAAGTTACCAACATGTGACTGATGATTCTATGCATGCAGTTTTAATGTCACATTGACCACTCAAATTACAGCTATGTCATTTAGATTTACCAAAAAACTAGCCGGGAGTGTCGCCAAGATAGGTACCAAGTGACCAAACATGCCTGTAAGGACTTTGGATCTGTGACCCTTCACCTAGAGTTTCCATGTCTGAATATATGTAGACATAAAACTGTGATTACATTAAGAAAAAAAGCCTAAAGCTGGGATATCCTCCTGTCCTCTGTCGCTAATGGATAGATGAAAAGTCCTTTGTCGTCCTGGGTTCATGAAAACTGTGTTTGTGTTTTTACTCGCCTCACTCCAAAAGAGTCTGATCGTCTTCTTCTTTTTGTTGAAAAGAGGCGGCTCGGGGGGAGGAGGCACCGGAATAGTAGCGTTAAAGGACGGAGGGGGCGGAGGCCTCATAATGCCAATTAAGGGAGGGGGTGGGGGGCAGCTGCCTAGTATGGGTGGGGGTGGAGGGAAGCGGGGGATGAAGGGTGGAGGAGGCGGCGGAGGCGGGAGGTCGCCACATCCTCCCATCGAAACGGCATCCAGAATGTCCTTGTCGTCGTCCTCAGTCAGGTCGGTGAAGTTGATGTCCCCGATGCGCAGCTCCCGAGGGCTGGCCAGGAGCTGGTCCCAGATGGTGTCGGACTCCTTTTTGGGCGGGGGAGGAGGGGGCTCGTTGGCGGGGCTGTCCAGGTGAGCGTTGGTCGGACTGAGGCCCTTGATCAAGTCTCCAAACCGCTCCGCAAACGGACGGATGCTCCTGCGATGGTCCGACTTGTCATCGCTGTCGTCGTTCTCCTGGCTGTCGCCCAGTTCTCCGTTAGCGTCCTGCTGCGTCTCTTTGTCCTCCCCCTCTCCTTTCTCATTCTCCTTCTCCACATCGTCTTCCTCCTCATCCTCGTCGCTGGGCTTCTTGTTCTGGGAGTACAACATGTCCAGCATGAAGAGTTTGCTGTTGAGGAGTTTGTTGCACTTCTCATTCACCTCTGCCTCCTTCAAGCCTGAGAAAGAGGGTGTTAAGAGAAAAACAATGTCAGAAGGAATTTGCGATGCATGTTGCTGCCACTGTTTGGGAGTCTTCACACCAAAGAGTCTTAACTACTACATGAATTAAGAATCCACTTTACTAATGCATTATCTTCATTAGTATTGCAAAGTTTGGAAAGAAATTCTTAGACTTTGAATGCAATACTTTGTGGTAAAAAGTACCAACCATTCTCACTGCTCCCTCTCTCCTCCCTCTCCAGAGTGCTGCTGGCAGAGGAGATGCTGGAAGCCGAGCAGTTGTCCTTCTCGTTCACTTCCTCATTCTGCCGCTCCTTGTCGCTCAGGATGCCACTGTCCTCCTCCGCCTCCTCTCTCTCCTTCTCCGCTTCCTGCTCACGTTCCTCGACTTCTTCTTCTTCGCCTTTTTCCTCCGCCGCTACCTCCTGCACTTCCTCTTCTTCCTCTTCCTTCTGTTCTTCCTCCTCCTCCTCCTCAGCAGCGGCCTCTGCCTCCTTTTCCTCGGTTTCTACACTGGCACTGGAGTCATCAGCTTCTCCTGGCACACAAAAAAAAAAAAAAAAGTTATTTTAAGACAAGATGAGATAAACTTTAATGTCCCCAAAGGGAAAATTGTGGGAATTTTTGCACCTTATCAACCACGTAGTAAAACAAAAATTAGTCCCTAAAATAATAATAAAAAAATAAATAAAAATAAGATAAAACAGCCGGACACATTAGGAGTACAGGCTGGGTTATTGCTTGTTGAGCAAATTTATAGAAGTAGAAATAAAGACAGCCTAAAACTGTTTCTCTTGTTTGCAGGCTGTGTACCTGAAGGTGGTCTGAAAATAAAACGTATAAGGGTTTATTCAGGATCTTTTTCATCTCTCATAGCTTGACTTAAATTGCACGAGAGCAGTCATAGAACCACACTGTGCAGTGTGTGACTTATCTGTAATAAAATACAGTTTGAAACATGTCAGTCTTTGATTTTAAAGGTGCGTCTGTTAAGGCTGCACATGGGACACCCCTACACAAACACACATTCACCGACACACACCGACGAGAAAAAAAAAACGAAAACATACGCCCACGCACTAATGTAAACAATACGGCAGGTACACAAAGCCAGGTTGTCGCAGGACCGGGATATGATCAGGAAATGAAGAATTAAGATTCCTGTTTACGTCAAAACACGCTCGCGTACACGGTACACATGCGGAGCTCAGCAGTACAGTCCACGCAGTGATGCAGGCCCGGGTTAGAATAACACGACGGCCTCATACACTCGCCTGTTTGAGCTGCAGCGCCTCAGCTCGTGGCTGCACATGCACTCCAAAACAAGGCTGGTTTCTTGCACAAGATGTTTTTGGTATCACACTTTCAAAAAGGTCTTTCAAAAAACTTATTTGACCCTTTCACCCATATCCACCTCCTTTCCTTTACTATTTTCCATCGTCTGTCTCCCTCCTTGCGCTCATGAATACATGGTAATTTAAACAGCAAGCGGTAAAGTGAAACAATTTAAGGTGTAGAATGATTGCTTCGGGGCACACTGTTGGGAATTGAACTGACAACCTTCTGGTTTTAATTATAACGCTGCAAAAATACAAACCAGCAGAATTCAAAGTCCTTCAAGTCGGCTGAACTAAGACGACTTTCACACAGAGAGATAACTTTAGAGCATCTTTTCTCTTTTTCTTTTTAAAATTCAGTAATGTTTGTGGGAGAGTTTGTCATTTTTTGGCTGGATTTACATTCAAATGCACAAAGAATTCACAAAAAATGCTGTTCATAAATATATCTTACTGACACAAGCTCTTACAAAATGTGTATGTACACTAACCCATTGTCAATTTGCTATTTTTAATTCAGACACAGCATGAAGTCATGTTACAAAAGGGAGCAGCCACAAAGAGACAAACTTCTCATACACAGCTCCTCAGCAAGGTGACACCTCTGTATGCGCTTTAGTTAAAAAAAAATACTCACAGCATGCTCGGCATAAAATAAGATTACGGTGCAATTATTTTGACTCCCTTCATTATTAAAATAATGTGAGTTTGTTTGGCTGCACTGTAATTGCAAACACCCGTTGCCCCTCTGCTGTTTTTCAGCCCCAGTGATTGTTTCCTGTCATGTTGCTGTAACCTCTTAAACCGTGGATGGCACCAAATCAGCCAGAACGGAAATCTTCAAGTCCCGTTCCTTTCAAAAGTGTGTTTAGGCATTATTATTTGTCTTGGAGCTACACTGTGCAGAGGGATGTGTATGCACAGTCTGGCAGCTATGGAGTGCATCAGCAAAATAAACTGCAGGAGCAGAGCCATAGTGATGCTGGATGCTAATGTATATTGTCATGTGAAAACAAATGGGTGCGACTATAGTTTTCGATTTGTTCATAAACCGCATCCCCAGCGTGTCGTTCGTCAAAGCAACAGTTCAATCAACTTCATCAAACGGTGCTTTCAGTTGTCCTACCGGTCTCAGAGGGCGTGTTGGGAGTGGCGGGAGTTTCTGCTTCAAGATCAGCCTCTGTGTCCTCCTGGGATGCGAAGGAGGACGGGGTGCTGCTGCGCGACGACGAGGGCCAGGCCTCCGAGGGCTCAAAGGTCAGGTTGAGGTCAGGACGAGTCCTCGACACTCGGACGCGATCCCTCTCGTACTCCTCCGCCGCCAGACGCTCCACGTTTTTATACCTGAAAGAGAGAGGAAGGATGAAGGAGGCAAAACCAGAACCTGAGACAATCCACCTTCTGTCTTCTCACCAGTCCTGTCCTCTGTGTTTGCCAAATTGCACTAAGCTAAACTACAACTCATTGCCAAGGCATCCGAATTCATTAAAACCTCCCAATCTGCAATGTTTACCTGTAACACTCTACTCTTTTTCTCCTCTGCAGCTGCCATGCCACTTTACCTCTCGACATGACAGCCCTACCTCACTCCTCTACCTCGCCTCATTAATCGTCCACAAAGCGTTCGACGCATTCATCACTCGTATCCTGAAGTTAAAGGCTTCACCTCCTTTGCTCCCCTCTCCTGTCCTGTCCAGCCAAACGCTCAGCTTTCAGCAGCGGTCCAAACATACAACAAGAGGCAGTTTGAAGAAGAGGAGACGATGTTAGGAAGCAGAGCAGAGAGGAAAGGACGACAGGAGAGAAGAATGGGGGAGATTTAGGAGAGTTTAATGTTAGTTTGGCTGCTGAAAGGCTCAACATCAGTAGTGAATCAGACTAAACCTGTTCAAGATGTGCCTCCATCAGCTCTCCTTCCTCGTCCATTTCCTCTGTTTTTCTTCCTCCCTCTTCTTCTCGTCCTCCCTTTCTCCTTGTACCAAACTTTACCATTCAACCTGCTGCCCAGAACAGAGATTTAGGGCACTGAGTCAACCCTCTTCTCTCTCTCTCTCTTTCTTTCTCTAACCCCTCCTCTTTCCCACCGCACCATGAATGTGTGGAGCTTCTGTTCAGAGTTCATTAGCATCAGGCCACTTCAGAGGTCTGAGGAAACCAGATACCCGTATATGTGTGCGCGGCGGTGCGTCCGTGCGTGTGATTGAGCGTGAAACTGAGCGAGCGAGCCGACCGCCCGAACAAAGGTGGCGAGTGAAAGTTTGTAAAACACTCTCTAACAGGCCGGTTCCCTGCTGTGAGCGCTGTGCGTGTCCATATATCACTCTTTGAAAAGCTGCGCACTGCATGTATCTGCTAAAATATCTTGTTAATAATCATAAAATATCAAAGTCCCGAATCGTTTCATACATAGCTAACCCTAACCCTGTTTATTGTCATAGAATAATGTCATAATCCTGGTTTTTGTCACAACAAAATTCCCTGAAATTGATTCCAGGAATAACTTTTGCCCGTTTAGTCACGGTCGGCCGATCGTTACGGCTCACGGGCAGAGCGTCGGTCATGTGTTATCACACCCCTGGTCAGCCGTGGAAGGCGACGTGTTTGTTTGTTTGTCAAAGAGAAATCAAAGAGAATCACATTGTTGCAGGGCATGTTGTCACTCATAACTGAACTGCTCAGCTAGTTAATCGTGATAAGTTAATCCTCTGTATACCCTCTGATTAAAGGCCCACTTATTGGAATATCCCGGATATAGTCATAATTCCATCCTTGGCCGAGGGTATGACAATAAACGGGCAGCACTGTAATGCAGGCATGTGTTATCGGGTTTCGTGAAATGTAGGTTTACTGCACTTAAGGACGCCTTTTCACATCCTTGTAATTTACTTCAATAGGGAATTTCCCTGTAGTTCTATAACAACATTTATCGGAAAGCAACCAAACAATCAGATTATAAAACATGATGCAGTGTCTTAGATTAAACTAGCTACACCAGAATTAGGCAAAACTGTAATGCATGTAATATATACATGTAAGATTTACAGCACAAAGTGTACGAGCATTTCACTCCGACTGCACTAATGTCCAACAACCAGTTTTGTTGTCTGTTGAAGCCATCAAGTCCTTTTTGTCCAGGTGTTACTGTGCTGTGCTTGGCAGGCAGTCGCGCCCCACTGGGAGGTGAGACGGGGTAAAAACTCATGTTTTTCTGATAACCACGACACCCAAACACAACATAAACACATCTCAGCGATCCTGCATCCTCCACATGCTAACTCAGTATCTCATCTCTGGCTTTTTACCAGTTTTATTCTTGTCGTTGAGTCCAATCTTAGTTTGTCTTCCTTTGTCTCTATCGTCGTCTGTTTGTTGTTTTTGCTCTAACTTGTTGATACTGTGTGAAAGAGGGCTTTCCATGTAATGAAGTATTCTCAACAGTCCTTATATATATATGGCTGCATCACGTACGTTCGGTCCTAAATGTGACCTCACATGCCCTCTTGAGTGAATCTCTCGCTTCCTGCGATTCCCATCTGCGCACAAACATCAATTTATTGGCCTCGTGAAAATCCTCGTTGCGTGCGTACACATGTTTGAGTGAAAAGCGTGGCTGTGTACGTGCCACGTGCAATTCAATAGGAAAAGCTTGACAAATCCAGGAATCAGATTTTATCACAGCGCACAGCCAAAACAATCAGGCCCCTTGGCAGCGCGCAGCATTTAAAATACAGCTTCTTAAGAGAGGAGAGAACAGGCAGACGAGGCAAAGAAAATCATTTCCGTATCCCTGCAGCCGCTGGCACCAAAGGGCACCTTTTTAACCTGAAAACAATTACACTATTACCGAGCTTCTCAAACCACCGGCTCTAACATATTCCCAGCGGGTTCAGCTGTTCTGTGTTTTGATTCAGTGCACACACTTACCTCTCCTCCCGCGCGAGCCTGGCCTCTTCCATTTTGTCCACATGGTCGCGACTGTGAGAGACACGCAAACAGAGAATTTTAAAAGATAATAATCAAACTTTACATCACTGCGGTGCTCTGTAGGCCTGCCAGTGTGAATATAAAATGTTTGCACATCATGCACGCAAGCAGTTGAAGCACTTGAGTAACCCATAATTCTATGTTCAAGATCACGACAACAGCTTTTCTTTCAGACTGTTGCCCTCACATACTTAAAAATCACAACAGTGTGATTCATATTTTTTACGAGTCATTATTCTGTGATTATTTTTATAACCTATAATCTATTTATTGTGGTTTAAATTCAGTTTTATCCGTTACAATATCAACATTAATATGAATTCTGTTATCTTATTATAGTATAGAAGTATACAACTGAAACAACTCTGATTTCTTCAAAGAATTAGTTTGGCATTTGGGGAAATATTATTTGTTGTGCTGCTGAGACTTAGATGAGGAGATCAAATTTTAATTTAATTTCATCAGCAATCAGTTTAATAATCAAACAAAAGCTGAATATCAAACCAGGCTGATTGTCTGTTGAAGTCCAGATGGGATGCATGTTGATTTTTTTAGAGCATTAAATATGAGGCTGCTTCTCGTTTCTTTGTGCTAAGCTAAGCTAAGCTAAGCTAAGCTAACTGGCTCCTGCTAAATATTTGCTGTGCCCAACGTCTGGCAAGAAAAGGCAAAAATGTGGGACCAAAAATGTCAAAATCTCCTTTTTACTTTGAGAAAACAGCACAATATCATCCTGAAAACCCAAGAAATTCTACCTTCACCATGTCTGTGGTTTAATAAGATTCCATCAACACTTGGATTCAAATCAGGAGTCGATTGATCATCAGCCTGATCAGTTATTGCTTTTATTTATTTGTTTTAACCTGTTCCTGTTAAAATAAGGTAATTTAAAGGTGGAATACTTTGGTTCTGATGCCCGTCTCTGACTGAGGGATGAAAGCGTTCTTTTAATTTAACATGTAAATCATGAATTCCAGTGAATTTTTGTGTTGAAAGTTGTTTGTAGTGAATATCAAGCTAAACCCATCCACGATCTCAGCTTTGTATAAAGACTGGAAGCAGCTAATGCATGTAGAACGTCTTCGTTGGTGAAATTAAGGTTCACAGTTAAAGAGCCCAAATTATGTGAATTAAAAATAATGTTATTTTTGGGGGGGTCTACAAGAATATAGTTACATGTTGTAATATTCAAAAAACACTTTTTTTTTTCTCCTCATAGTGTGAATTGCTGCAGTATTTCTTCTCATACTCTAACTCATGTCTCTTTAAGGCCCTCCTCTCAAAAAGCCCCGACAAAACGAGGCACGGCTAGTTAGCACCATAACCCCACATTTATGAGTACTGGGATGTCTCTAGTGAGTGAGTGCCAAACCAGTTGCACGGCTGGCATCATGCCAGTGTTTTACATGATGACATAAATAAGTAATGGAAGAAAAGCCTGAACTACAAAGGTGCCTTTTCAGGCAAGTGAGGAGCAGCACTTTCTGTGGGAGAAAATAATTCCCTTTGGGTAGGCTTTGGAAGTTTGCAAACTTTTTACATCACACACTGATCGAAAGAGAAAAACCCAAAAGTCATATTATGGGATCTTTAAATGAGCCTGATGACATCATAATGGGGGTGTTTTGTCTGAAAGACATTCAAAGAGGATTCCTTTGGAGTGTGAGCCAAGCTATGCAGCTATAAATTAATACAAGTGTCTCAGGCTCTGTTGCTTTAATTTTGATTATTTTATCAATGTGTTTGTTTATGGAAGTACAATACCATACTGCAGAAGTCCCGCTTCAGTTTTTAGTGAATTGCTGTTGTATTTCAATTTTCTTTCAAGTGAAACTGCTTAAGCCTCTTTCAAAAACAAAGCCGGCGATGCCTCACCTGTGCTTGTTCCTCTCCTCTCTTTCGATCTTCTGGAGTCTCTCCTCTCTCTCCACACGACGGCGCTCTCGTTCGGCCGCCAGAGATTCCTGGTGCTGCCGGTACGACGACGACAGAAGACCTCCCAAAGCAGGTCTGAAGACGAGAGTCAGAGGGAGAAGAAAAAAAGAGTTTGTCTGATGTCCTCCAAGACGGTTTTTCTTTTTATTATTTACTGATATCTTGTACAACTGACTTGAATATGTTCTACAAACAGCGCATCCCTGTTTCATCTGCTGCACTATTTTAACACCATCATTGTGATAAACAGTTAAAACAGCAACAACACATGCCCCCTTTGCATGCGGAGAGCTTCTACATGTTAAAATATACGATAATTTATGTCTTAATGACTGCCCTCCTGCAGAAAATAGAATGAGCTTAGTGACTCAGGAACCAGAGAGCTGAGATCATGTTCACTTCAGTGTGTCATCACTATGAAGGCACCACGAGGCTGCACACAGTCAATATTTGTGACACACGTGAGTTTGTACAAACACACATGAATAAAAACTTGTATGTGAACCTGTTTACACTACCGGAGGGTGTATTTTCAAAGATTTGGGGGGGATTTCCTTTTTTTTTTTAGCTTTTACTTAATGGGGACAGTGAGGCAGAAAATGCAGGACCCTGTGATCTGCTGCCGAGGGTATACGTGCCCACATGATATGCACCCCGTGGAGTGTGTATTTTAAGGATGCTTCCGTGCGTCGCCCTAACCTTGGGCTGGTAGGTGTATTTGGGGTGCTGAGAGAGGAGTAGGACGAGGAACCTCCATTCCTGGGGGAGAAAAGAAATATGAGAAATTGGGGGGGATAGTGAGCAACTTATCCGGCCGCCCAGTTGCGCAACACTCCAACGAGCGACTAGTTGGCACAAGATTTGTGGCGAGAAACGAGCGTGACACCTTGTTGCATAACAGGAATGCTGTTGGTGCAACACTTGAGTGACCCTAATTAGTAACTGCTGCGGTGTTTATTCTATTAGCTCTCTGGAAAATTCCAGGAAAGGCACTTATAGTCGTCCATGAATCTGAAAAGACCCTTTGGCAAAATATACAGTATTTACCTTGACAGGTCATTTCACCAGTGCAGGCAGCAACTATCTTTTTTAAAGCTTAACGTTCTGGTACCAAATGTAAAATACTAATAAGTGGAATAATTACAATGATAGCAAATTAGATTATTCTTAATTATAGTTGAAATTGAGCTTAAGCATGCAAAAATGTTTATGTAACTGTAAACTGCAGCATTATCATGACAAGATAAGTGAAGATCAGGTGTTGATCTGCAGATAACCAGTCCTATCCAGCAAGAGAGAAGTCTAGCACAACAATATTATACTCATAAAATCAAAGTGGAGAGTGGATGACAACCGTGAGGAAAGAAAAATAAAGACATAAAGAGAGACTACACAGAAGCTACAAGTGAAAGGTTGGAAAAGGCATCAGTGCACGACACTACAGTGCTTGTGCTGCTTTTGGAAGGTAGGGAAGAGCCATGATGCTGGGAAGCAAAGTGGAGGGCTGCAAACAGGCGTGAATTACCGACGCAGTGGCAGAACTAAGAAAAGATGTGAAGGAATGATAGGTGATAATAAAAGCGTTGACAGACTCAAGGTGAGAAGCTGTGAGATCAAAGAACTGAAAAAAAGAACCGGTGAAAAGAGGAAGTGATGAAGAACGAAAGCGGTGGAGAGAGATCCAAGCTGGTGCGAAGATAAAAAGCCAGAAACAGAAGTGGAAATTTGAAAAGTAAAAGTGAAACGTCGAAGAGATAAAAGAAAAAAAAAAGAAAAAGCTCCTCGGAGTCACAGGTCCGTCTGACCTGGGAGGTGTCGTTTTGGGCGGCTCCTCGCTGGGTTTGGAGGAAGCCGGGGGTGATGGCTCCTCGTCGAGATCGTACGAGAAGAGGTGGAAGGGAGAGTGGGGCAGGTAAGGCAGGCGGTCGGGGGAGGGGCGGGAGCTGCCACGTGCCGGCGGGCTGACCTCCGTAGTAGCTGGGACGGTGACAACAGACCTTTTCCTGGCCAGCAGCGAGGCCAGCAGGGACGGCTGGGCCGGGGGGCTGAGAGTGCAGCTGGTGGGGGTAGAGGGGGAGGTGGGCGCTGGAGGTGGTTCTGTCCGACTCCTTTGCTCGTCCTCTTTTACGTGCTCCTTTCTGGAGGTGATGGTGATGGACTGAAGGGTTGTTCTGTGAACGATTGATGGAGGAGGTCGAGCCGGGCTAGGAACAGAGGAATGAGGAATAAGTGGAAGGAAGCACAACCGGGCAGATGAAAGAGACGTAGGACAACGTAGCCTTCAAACAGGGTTAAGGGCGTCTCATTGATAGTAATAACTACCAGATACACAGGCCACAAGATCAAACCAACCAGATGTTCAACACAAAACAGTGACACAAGAGACATTTATTAGGCTTTACATGGAGCCCAAAGATACATAGGAAGGCTATAGGACATTATTTCATTTCCATGTTACCACCGTGTCCTAAAATACCTGGGGGTGGTCTGATTAGCCCCCTCCTGCTCATCCGAATCAGACTCAGTCACAGGAGTCGCCTCTTCCTCTTCTTCCTCCTCCTCCTCCTCCTCCTCCTCTATGCCAACCTCAAATTCCTCCTCTCTATGGAGGTGGGGAGGGGGGGAAGGATGAATGCACAGATGGATGGAACGTTCAAGGGAAGGATTGAGGGAGAGATGATGCGATACATATGACTAGCATGCAAATGGAAATCTCTGGAAAAATAAAGGGACGGAACACAGGGAAGGAAAACAAGGACAAACAAGGACTTGACATCTATCAGACTGAGATGGAAAAACACAAGGACACAGCTGAGAGAAGACACAGTAATGAAATAGGAGAAATGGTGGGTTCTGACACTCCGCGCCTAATGTTAGCTAGCTTCACATGCACATTAAAAACAAATATGATGATGAGGAAGGGCGGGAAGGGGTGCTAAAAGGAGCTAAAAAAAACTGAGATCTATGTCACCAAACAGTTTTGTGAAACCAGATGAGCCTTGTTGCAGTCGAGTTGGTTTGTGCCGCCAGGTGTTGCTCCACAAGACCAGACCACCACGTGTGTGTGTGACGAATGGGATGGCCGATAAAAGTTTGTTTTTCTATGCGTGCATGCATAACATGAAGCATGATGTAGTCTTGGATACGAAAGACTTTCACACATTTAAAAAATATGTTTGAAACAGATTCTTAGATGTTTAACCAGATTTACTCGCAGGCATCCTGGTATGCATGTTTCCCATTTAAATAGTGTCTGAAGCATAGACTGTATAAAAGACGGACGTAGCAACCGGCCCTGAAAAATGAAGCCAACCCGGAAATGTCAAAAACCTGCAATATCACTACGTCCGCTAGTCCTGGCTCCAAAAAGCCCTGGCTCCCATAGAAATGAATTGGAAAAGAAGTGATCACAGATCATGAAATACTGCATTCCTCCAGCTCAGGATTTTTAAAAAATTAGTTTTCATGGTCAAGTCCAGAGATCAGGTGGCCAATCTGAAAATAAATCAATACTGAACTTTTAAAAAATCATCAACATTTTGCGGGGCAAGGGGCGTGGCTGGCTTGATTGACAGTCGGCAGCGACCATACAGACGAAGCGAGCAGAAGGCGGTAAATGTGGGCGGGCAGAGAGGGCCCGCCTCTCAATCCGTCTGACCAATCGCTGCTCCTATGGCTCCGCCCCCCTCCGACGATTTTTGCGTCACTGCCTCCAAAAATTCAAGATGTCAACCAGGAGGTAGCAAAACCCTGGCTTCATTTTCTCAGTGCAGAAACCAACGGGTGACGTCACGGTAGCTATGTCCATCTTTTATATGGTCTGAAGCATAGGGCATAATGTGCTTTGGTAAAATGACTGAACATGAAGAGTTGAGAGATGAAAGATTTACCTGAAGTAAGCAGCAACAGTCGGATCCAACTTCCGTTTTTATGTGAATATACACACAGCACTGATAAAAGCCTGTGCTGGTTTAATAACGTGAACGCTTGTATTAGGATTACAAGCAAACCCACTGCTGAGGACTATTTTATTTCTTTCGGTGAGGCAGAAATCTGCAGTAGTGTTTGGTTGCAGAGGAAAAACCCACGCTGTGAGTGGCGGGGACACACTAGTAGCTGTTACAGCATGTGTGTGAGGAGCAGAGGCCAGAGAGGTCAGCAGCTGACCTTTTACTGGGAGATGTTTGCACTTACATGGATGGAAGGCAACCTGACAATGCTCTGGAGCAGAAAGTGGTATTAGAGTCAGAACTTGGAGCTCCGTTAATACATCTGAAAAGGCCGGACAAAATGTTTGCCAGGACGATCAACCAACACCGAAAACCAGCTCCTGAACCACCCCCATAACTCAGCAGCTGGTAACTATGCAGGACCGTCCTTCAGCTTCCCGTCACTCTCACCTCTCGCTCGGGTCCTCAGCTCTGTGTCCATTGAAAGGCTGGAAGCCAGCTCTCTGTGGGGACGCAGGGCTGCAGGGGGAGGCTTGACCGGATCGTCCAAGAGAGGCCCGGCGGCTTCGTCTCCTCTCCAGGCCGCGCTTTTTGTCCCCACCCCCGAGGCTGGCTCTCCGGCGGTCCCGGCGTCCCGTTGGTGGAAGATGGCTGTCGTCATCTCCATCTTCGTGCCGTAAGGTCATCTGGTGGAAAAGATGATAAAGTGGGAGTGGATAGAGGTGATTCCCATGAAAAGTTTTAGTGCTGAGCAAATAAACTAAAAATATTGCACAGAGTCAAACTGTATCCTAATCACAGGACATAATTAGCACCTCGTCAGCTCGTAAAATTTTTAGTCTTTTGTTTGTGTCAAACCTCATAGATGTTGAGCTGCTCGACCAAGTCAAGATCGGTGCCTTTGCGACCCAGGTGTCTTTGGGAAACTGTCTCCATGCCTTGTTCCTCCAGAACATCCACCATATCATAGAAGGAATCCTGGTCAGGCAGTGCTGAAAGTGTCTGCAAATAGAGAGGAGACAGGTAAGCACAGGTAGGCACTGCAATTTTGTTCTGTCTGGGGTGGAAAGCCAATGAATCCGCATCTTTAAACGTAGAATAGTTTACAGTAGATCTTGCAAATAAACGAGGAATAAGAAAACAAAGCAACACAGGAAAAAAAAAATCTAAAAAATATGGATCAGCGATCACATCAGGCCAATATTAGTGTTTTTTCCGATATATCCGTATCGGTCTGATGAACAAATTTAGCCAATGTGAAAAACCGATGATTGTCTAACATTAGTGCCTTCGTCTCTACATTTGATATTGCTTGAATATCGACATCGGTAATATCAGTTATCAGCGATATCAAAAATCTTAATGTCGGTGCTGGCCAGAAATTTTTAATATCATGCATCACTACTAAAAATGAAACAATTAATACCTTAGCCACACTAAAGGTATAGTTTATAGCATTTAGCACAAGTACAGAAGCATCCAGGGTATAGAAGTTAAATGTAAGGATACCTTATTAATGAGGGTCATGGCATAGACCAGCAGCTCTGTGTCCACGCCGTCCTTCTCGTGTAAAATCTCCATCGCATTGGACCACGGCTTGCAGCCTGGAAATCAGTCCGTTAACATCCATGAATCAGTTCAAACGTAAAAATATTAATTACAGTGTTACTATCCAAACAAGCTACCTCTATACATCAACCATTAATAAGGCAAAACAAACAATGTGAACAAGTCCTTCAGCAGCTGGTGGCATGTTGAGCTATTCGTACCTCTTTTGGTGTCCACAGAGGTGATGGCTTGTATCAGCAGCGGGGCGTTGGACTCGGAGTACTCCACAAACACCAGCAGCAGCTTCATAGCTGTTTTCACCACCAGACGGAACTATAGGGGAAAAGCAAACAGACATACACAAGGGATGGATATGTTTTGAACTTCTGGCCATGTTTTTTTTACAAATCTATGCATGATCGTACATTTTGATTGAACATTTGAAAATGCACATTAGACACATTTAGCAGTAAGGGGGAACCAAGAAGAGTGTGTGTGTGTGTGTGTGTGTACTCGTATTTCTCATGTTGTTGGGACATAAATCTGTTTACACAGTCACATTGTGGAGACTCGCCTCCCTTTTTGGTGACAAAAAGCCTCATAATGTAAATCAGAAAATTTCAGGGTGAAGACTTGGTTTAAAGTTAGGGTACGGTTAGATCTGGGTTAATTTTAGCTTAAGGGTTACTTCAGGCAAGTAGTGATTATGGTTAGGGGAAGGGTAAGTCTCCAGAAAATGAATATAAGTCAATGTATTGTCCTCTGAAAGCGATAAAAACACAACTGCGTATGTGTACAATGGCGTCCCTTTGTGTATGTGTGCTTTTGTTTAGACAGTCTGATGTGAATATAATTCTCTAACAAGTTTAATACAAGGCAGAGGGAGTGTGTTTGCTGCATATATGCTATGAATTGTGCAAAGTGAAATAAATCAAGTTCAACAGAGAGCTGCAAACTATATAAACTAGGCACTGAAATCAAGACCGACACTTCCAGACGTCTAAAGCAGAAGCAAATCTTCAAAGAAGAACAAAATGAAAAAAAAAAAAAGAACCACAAAACTAACAATAGACAACACCCCCAAGTTAGGACACAGAATACAATCAGTAGCAGATGTGTGTTTCTTTGGATAAAGGCTAAAAATAATGTTCCCTAAACAATGGATGGTTACTTCAGACTTGATGATAGCCTGCTTGTAGAGTGTGTGTGAGTGTGTGTGTATGTGTGTGTGTGTGTGTTGAGGCTGTTGTTTTTTTTTAAGTATGTTCAGCTATACCTTTGAGCCAACAAGAGCGTAGAGCCACTGGATGGTCTCAGGGTGGCCGATGACACCATTCATCCCATCCACATACAGCATGATCTGCCCCAGAGCTGAAGACGGGGGTGGAGAAAGAAAGAAAAAAAAAAAAGTTAGAGACGAAATAAATATAGAAAGATGATTCAGCACTTACTGTAAAAAAAAAAAAAAAAAAAAAAAACTCCAAGCACCAAATAGCAACTGTGTGCAGCACAGTAGCTATAATTAACAGGGAAAGGCATCGGAGACTAAAGGTTTGCTTCCATGCGACAAAAACACAGCAAAGATCACAGCAGAGCAAATATATAGTCTTGTTTTTAAGCCTAAGTGGTATTCTTTCTTACAGTATTTGTCAAGGCCTTGGTTTTGTGCGTACACTGGCTGACAGGTGTCTTTTTTCCTACCAAGCATTTTCAGGCCACGCTATGCTTGTGCGGAACAACCTTTGCACTCAGTGTTTTCATGAATTAACCTGCTTACATGTTCAAGAACAAGTAATAACTAAATTTACCAAATTTTATCACTAAGAAATGATTCTTACATTCATCTCTCATTTACATTTTCCCCTTGAAGATTAATGCTTAAACTTCTCTGATAAGAGTAGACTAACACGTGGCTTGGCCTCCGTTGTAGTTTTCATCTGTTGCTGTTAATCAAAGCACAACGCGGATCGCGTTACACCTAAACTAAGAGCCGAAGTGAAAGTGAATCTCATAACTTATTTCGCCACATGTTACATCGAAGTTTCTGGTAGCAAGAGAAGGACCTTGCTCCTTCAAGTTCATGTAGACAATTCTTAACAAATGGATGAAACAGATTGTTGAGAGTGAAGTAACATTTGTGAGTCACTGCAGAACGTTAAGGAGGTTTCATGTGTTGCTCAGGGGTGAACGGCTAATCTGGAAAATGGACTGCAATTACGCTGCACTTCTCAATTTGCCTCTACTTTAACCAACCAGTGATGGCATGTTACAATGCAAGGCACGGGCCTCGACATAAAGAAGAGCAGGGATCTAGACCAGTCCCAGTTTTTGTCAAGGTTCTTCAGCCTAATGGAACAGGGCTCCTCTTCAATGCAACCTCTCATCCACACTTGCAGTTTGGTTCTCTTGGTCTGAACCAGAACAATCTTGGCATTTTAAGCATGAAACATACAAAACATAAAAGGCATATGGACAAGTTTAGAACCTGATTGGACAGCTGTCGTGACATATTTTGCAACAGAATAAACCTGCTGACGGTGAGAAATCCCGAAGACCTTATAAAATGCATAAAGGAATCACAACAGAGGTAAGAAATTTGCGGTTCTGATGCCTGTATCCCGACTGTAACGTGCAACATCGCTGCTCTGAAGAGAAGAATGAGGTACGGCCGAATACACACATCCTGTTTTTGGTTCTTTTCAACAGCTTTGGTGCATATTTCAGTTAAACTGCTCCAGAGTTTATCTCCAGTGTTTGCAGGTCTTCAGAGCAAATGCAACAAAGTTAGTTTTAATTAAACCAAACGCTGCTATGCTTATCGTTGATCTTTATAACATCACTGTCAGTCTGTTGTTCACAAAGTATATCATTCTTTCTGGCTCCTGTGTCTTTAAAAATGTACTTTGCGCTTTTTCTTAGTTTTATCTTTCTTCTAAAGTGAACTTTTACAATAATGATCAAATCTAGAATCCTACGCACATTCCAACTAATAAATGCATATTTGAAAGCTTGTGTCATCGCCTTTTTTCACACCTGACAAACAACCTTGTGAAGATGTGTTATCATAGAAATGTAAAGCCGTAAAGGCAGCTGCTGCAGTGTTTTTACTGGTGTGGCACTGCTAATGGGTTTAATAAGTTTTAATGAGATGTTTTGTTCAGGGGCCACAAACCCTCTGACAAGTGTTGTAAGATTTATCATGTGGCTGCAAATAGCAAGTAATTATGCAATTAATAGTGAAAAAAAAAGCAACTGCATAATTATGCCACCCGTGAAATGATTACTGTTGGCACATGTTTGGAGTGGGGGAGTTATGAAAAGGTCTAGAAAGGAATGCATGGTTTGTTTAAATGTAAAAAAAAAAAAAGAGTACTAATCTCTCTGAGAACCTCGGGGTATGTTTTCCACTGGTGGAAACTATGGAAATCTGTTTGTGTGAATATGATATAATTAAATGTTCATGTTTTTCCAGATTAAATCATTTCTAAATCTTGGCAAATACACAAAAAGTTTTACACACCTGAGAGCCAAAAACCAGCAGAATGAATGACAAACACTAGTTCCCAATATAAGAGCATGACATCACCTCAAAATGCCTACTGTACACTGTTGTGGAATCTTTCTTCTATACTGCCTCACATATTGTTTTTTTACGTTAATTTCGTGTTATTGTCACGATAAATATCATTGTAATTGTTTCATGTATTATAACTGCAGAGAAAATCAGTCACTTTTGTTCTGTTTTGATGTGCGGTCAAACACTTGAGCAACACATGGGCTAAATACAGGGCAGTGTGTCACTCTTAAAAGCTCACAGTATTTTACATTCCAGTAACAAACAAAAACAACAAAACTGGCAGAAAGAGAGAGAAAGGGAAAGCTAGAGAAAGCGAAGAACGAGTGACTCCACCAACAGTGTAGAGGAAGTGTTGTAAAGACAGAGCCGCAGTTCTTCAAACGGCACCGAAACATCTAAAGTAACTGTTCAAATGCTGTAAGACGGAAAAATCGCACTGAGGGAAAATAAATGAAGAGTTTATTTGCAAAAACAGATAACTCCATCTTCACAAACCTTCAGAAAACTCAATTTTTCCATCATCTACCTGATACAATATCCATCCATCCATCCATTATCTATACACCGCTTAATCCTCACTAGGGTCATGGTGGGCTGGAGTCTATCCCAGCCGACTTAGGGCGAAGGCAGGGGACACCCTGGACAGGTCACCAGTCTTGATACAATATCGACCAAACTTAAGTTATCACTATTTTTGTCACGTCATTTCTACTGAGTCAAATCCACTCAACTTCAGTTTGATTGATATTGTCTCAAGCAAACAACAACAACAAAAAAAAAAGTTTTCTGAAAATCTACACAAATGGAGTCCTCTGTTTTTGGAAATGAACTGCTCAAATATAGTTTGGTTCTTTCAGGACAGTTTGTCGGACTGACACAACATGAAACAAACAGGTCTCACGTGTGCTTATTATTTGTATTTCTGGACTTTTAATCTAAACTTGTCCTATTCTCAAACACCCACACATACAAAAAAATCTATTATTATTATTATTTTGTGCTTTGGGAACAGTAACATACATAAATATGCGCATAATTTAATTCTGTTGCATTCATTTGCTTATCAGCTTTATTTATATTTATTAGAAGCACTAATAACTAGGGCTGCAGGGTGGCGCAGTTGGTAGCACTGTTGCCTCGCAGCAAGAAGGTCACCGGTTCATGTCCCAGTGGGGACGCCGGGATCTTTCTGCGTGGAGTCTCCATGTTCTCCCCGTGCAGCGTGGGTTCTCTCCGGGTTCTCCGGCTTCCTCCCACAAGTCCAAAAACATGTTGAGGTTAATTGGTGATTCAAAATTGTCTGTAGGTGTGAATGTGAGTGTGCTTGGTTGTCTGTCTCTAAGTGTAGCCCTGTGATAGACTGGTGACCTGTCCAGGGTGTCCCCTGCCTTCACCCTAAGTCAGGTGGTAATAGACTCCAGCACCCCATGACCCTAGTGAGGATTAAGCGGTGTATAGATAATGGATGGATGGATGGAATAATAACTATAAATCTGCTGTTGCAGTCATAATTAAACACATGTTTAGTTTTCTGAATTTTAAGCACATAGACATACTGATCTTCTTCCCCCTATCTATGTTCTAAATCTACAGTATCTTAAGAAAGCTGAGAATTAATAATTTGTCTGATTTGAGGCATCAGACAGTCGGAGGGACAATACCTCTTAATATGTAGTTCTGGTAGTTCTGATCAGCTTCTGCTCCCACCTTGATGAGACATGTCAGACCTTCGGCTATCACAAACTCATGCACCAGGTCTTTGTCATCCTGAAGCAAAACAAAGAAACAACATTAATATGCGCTTGCTGCACAGCGTCCCTCCTGAAGTTTTCTTTTGTTACCACACGATGTCAGTAATGTGCGGGACGAGGATCAAAGTTGGCAGCGCACAAACATCTAAACCCTTTCAACTGGTCGGGCCAGATTGAAAATGCCCTTCCACAATTTGTTGCTTTTGACATATTATCTTTGTTGTGGCAAACTGAAAGGTTGATGAACACACTTTAATGCAGTCGGCTGCACAAATGCAAAGGACCCCTGAGCTATTGTTGACTTTTAGGTGCACCCTCCAAAATCAGACATCATCATCTGTGTGGCAAACGGTAAAATGAGCCTTGGAGAAATGCTGCACAGTTCTTATGTTGCTACTTTATCTGCTGCAGCATTGTCTTTATACGTGTGAGTCATTTTATGTGTTTGCACTCCTGAAAAAAGTACTTGTGTGTGTTGTTTTTTTTTTAGTGGCTGAGTCCTCTTATCTTAAAATAAAAGATACACACACAGACTTGAATGCAAACACCCACACAACGCGCAGACCTACACACACTCAAAGACGGAGAGAGAAATGCCACGTTGATGGAGATCCTGTCATCACAGCGGCCACAGTAACCAACTGTATTCTGCAACAACAAACTGACAGTAATTGCATGTGAAATATGCGTGTGTGTGTGTTACCTGAAAAATCTGCTTTAGAGAGAACAGTGCCCTTCTCAAGTCACGTCCATTGGAGTTATACAGTCTTTCTGCAGAGAGAGAGAGAGACACACACAGGTTATTTGAATGTAGCTGAACCAATAATGCATCAAGCCAACAGGAACATATAAAGAATCATAATGTTTCCTCCTAACATGAGACAAACAACAACCTTGATGTCTTGCATATCTCCCTGCACACCTTTCATCTCTCACCGCTCCTCTTATTTTTTTTATAGATCAGAGTGGATCAATAAAACTTGTGTGTAAAATGACTCTCAGCTGTGCACAATAGATGTGAGCAGAACGCTGCGAGTTGATGGAGCCAATCACACCGCACGGCTCTAATCACCTGAGGCAGGCATTTCATCGCACCCTTTGACCGCGTCCTCGCTCGCACAATAACACGTGCATGATCTCTCTCTCTCTCACACACACAAACAAACACATGCACAGACACACACACACACACACAGGCGCGCACGTTGCAGTGGTGATTAGAGTTGTATTGGAATGTTAATGAGCTGCTGGCCGGGCTTCAATGTTGAGGTATTCAGGTCACGACACGGAAACTACTCAGAACCGACGACTGCAGGCTCGTATACCATGACACTGATATTCACCCTGTTATTTCTATACTTGAACACAAAGACGTCATTAATGTGCATCTTTAAAAATCCCGTAGGGCCTTCAAATGCTTCATGTCGGCCTTATGAATTGTAAGTGTCTTCTTGTCTCCAGTCACATTGCAGCAATCCATACAAAAGTCTATTTCTCTGGAATTAAGTGCTGTGATTCATCATAAAACTATGACCACTTATATTCTTTATTATGTTCCACATTCACTGTCACAGCATCTTAAATTTCGTCATGCATCATGTTTGATGACAATAAAGCATTCTATTCTATTCTATTCTATTCTGTCTTTTTTCCACAATATTCTCACATTTACATTATGTTCTCAAATGTATTCATACCCTCCCATTAAAGGAGGAAAAAAACAGCTGTCACTGAAATAAGCTGAAATTCACAAAAGTAATAATCAATTAAAATTTAAAGAAAATCCTGACATTCTTTTTGAATTGTGGTTCAACAGAAATATGAAAAAAAAAAAAAAAAACAAACAAGCATGATGGGACCCGTAAATTAATATTTTGTTGAACAACCCTTTGAGCCAATCACTGCAATCAAGTGTTTTCTGTAACTCTCAATCAGACTTCTGCACCTGTTGACAGGTATTTAGATTTTGGCCCACTGCTCATCAGCAAAGTGCTCTAATTTGTCTGGGACAGTTTTTTTTTTTGTTTTTTTTTTTTATTCTTTTCAACCACAATTCAAAAGCAAAATCTTATTTCACTAAATTTTAATTTGGCAAATTTTTATTTATTATTACTTTTTTCAGTTTCTAGTTATTTGAGTGACTATTGTGAACTTTGTCTTTTCTTAAATGGAAGGGTATGAATACATTTGAAGACAACTGTACAGCATATAGTTTCATTTGGCTAAAAATACCGTAACACCAGAAATAATTTCCCTAAGTGCTCTGCATTAGGCTCAAAGTCTGTTCAACTGGGTGTCCATACTGTCCATTTGTGCGTATGAGCAGTTGTGCATTCAAATGTGTGTCAGCAGGGGGTTTGGGAACCTGTGTAAATCCCGAGTTTGCATGTTGATGACAAATCCCTCGCTACCTCGGGAGTTTCGGGGGGGGTTGGGTAAAAGGGTACTGCTGGGAGGGCAGGGTGCACACCCCCTGATGTGGGTGCGGGCGTGGGCAAGCCTGGCGACGGAGCCGTCCAGTCTGTCCTGCTGTCTGGAGCTCAGTGGTAAACGTTGCTAAGCTAGGCAAAGCTAACCCAAGGCCAGGGTCAAAATCATTATCATTCCGCAAAAAGAATTACAGGCCTGTCTGTCTCTCCATCTGCAGGACTGTAAGATCCGCAGTGGCATTCATGAAATACATCTGCGATAGTCAGTACAGTGGAGATAATCAAGTAATGGAAGGTCATCAAATCCTCCAATGACGAGCGCTAAGAGGTGGCTGGCATACGACGCTGAATGCATGGGAAAAAGTGTGTAAAACTCAGCCAGAAAAACAGAAAATAATATGTTGGAAGGGTGGAAAGAGAAAAGAATGTTCGCACATAAGAAGTCACATAAATGGCTCAGAATACATTTAAATAAACAGCTTGGTCTGATTTCCTGGTTCTCATTTCTCTAGGTTTCCCTGGAAATCAAGTGGGCCACTTAATGATGCACAAGAGACTCCACCTGGCCCCTTGAGCATCGTGATTCATCCAGACGATCACGTGCGACGTTTGTGTTCTTCGTCAGGCCGCGAGTGTGGCTGTCAGGGTAACCTTTGCCGAGCGTCTGCTGTGCATCAGGAGCATGTCAGCAGCGGCGATAAGCCTTAAACTTGGCCTCATTCATTCTACAGCTTTTGATGCAGCGAGATGTGAAGGTAGCTGTAAGGTGGTTTTGTTTCCAAAATCACATCCAGTCTTTCACAGATTTTCTTCACACCAAAAACACTCCAAGAATCCTTCAGTTGGTGTTTCAGGCGTTTTTGTAAGTGCGCAGGTGAAACAACAACACCCTCACACTACAAACCAATTACAGCATTAACGTTGTCATGGCAATCGCCTTTAATCACCTGATAGCTGCCTTGTCAACATAATTACCCTTCGACTCCAGAGTCAATAGAGTTTGACATGCTAAATAATCAAGAGGCCGTTGTCCTATTGGCACAAGGGGCTCCAGCTGTCTTAACACAACTGAAGCAAGCTGGAAACAATTCAAACACAAATCACTCACACTTTGAGCCATCGTGGCCAAAACAACACTGCTTCAGTCCGTGTATGTCTCTAATGAAAAACACAAAACTATGAGGATAACACGACTTAATTTGGATGCCCTCCACTGGTCGAACAGACAGATGTAGTAAAAGCGGGAAAGGAAGGACGGCAGCACGGCAAAATGATGCTTTCTGAGGAGAAGGTTCGTCTGTCCACGTGTCTGTTAGTGGTCATTCTCCTTTTCCTGGCTTTAGTTTTATATTATTGTCACCAGTAGAGCTACAACATTGTGATGTGTCATTGCGGCTTGTGTGTGTGTGTGTGTGTGTTGCCATGTGTAGGCCAGTTCCTGTGTTTGCCGAGTGCAGACAGACAGATGAAGAAAAAGGCAGAAAGGCACATTTCATTTATAGGTTTCGCTCGGAGTTTTACTGTTTTGTTTTGGAGCACTCGCAGTCCTGGTCCACACCGTTTCGCCATGACCTCACATGCACTGCAACATGTCAGCCTTAACGAGTCATTTAGCTCCATGTTCCGTATTAAACCTTAATTTTCTGAACATAAGGGGGGAAAGTCCACCAGCAGAATGAGTTATTTCCACTTTCTTGTGATGCAGCCACGTCTGTTTTTAATTTCATACGATAGGGACGAAACTCTTTGTTCCATGTGCCCTTAATTACGTTAAACAAAACTAAAAGGCAGCAAACTCCCAACCAAGTGTGTATACTCCATAACTATACTGTCTATAAGAGCCTTTCCCTGCAATTGGGTTTATAGAAGGAATAACTTTCTCACTGTAGTCGAGTCACTCTTGAAGTTGAGTTTACAGTATATGGTTTATGACATCCTAAAAACGATTTATTACTTTCAAAACCACAAACGAGGGCCAAGCTGATATAAAAAGACATCATTATTTCTACTTTGTCGTTCACAGTTCTTCTGTTTATCAAATCATGTGCAAAACTCCCCAAGAAGCCTAAAAAACAGATTCAAATGACCATTAAAATGACTTTGTAAATAATAAATGAAGTAACTCTATGCATATACTCTAGAATATAGTAAATAATGTAATAGAGGCATCTGTATGTGAACTATCCCACGTGTGCATGTGTGTGTGTGTGTGTGTGGGTGTGTCGTCTGCAGTGAAGCAGGGATTCCCCCGGTGCCCAGGCTGTCGACTAAGTTGCTCAGGATTGGTCAGATCCCTCCTTCTCTTCCTGCCATAATGAGATTAGCGCCGTGACCCATCAGCTTTGAATAATCCCTCAACATTTACTGCACCATCTACACATCTCCAAACAGAAAAACACACGGGCCAACTCAGGCTGCACAAGGCCTAATCCACAGCAATTACACTCACAACCGCACGGTATTTTGTTGCACTTGTTGCACCAAGTGCAAAATTAGAGAGTCCACATGTGACTGCAGTCTAATTCTACTTCGGTGGCCTCAGCAAAGGGCATCAACAATCTACTACTACTATGCTTAATCCTCAGACTTAACAATAGGCAGCTAGCTCAGCAGATGTTTCTGAAAGGCAGCAGTTGTAGGTAGACTAAGAAGTATGTATAGACAGACTAAGACAATCTGAAGAATCTGTTTGGCATTCAGAGCACGAGCATCTCAAAGTCATTTCTAAGAATTTACAATCTCTATTGGAGACTTGTGGTTGTGGTTTTGCAGCCCTCAATGTTACTGACTGGGTTCACCATCACCAATCTCGTGGCACGGTTTTTGGCCACAGTATGCTGTTTAATTAAAGCGATAAAACTCTAAAAATCCACCGTGAGATTCCTTCCCAGCACCAAATGCTACACAAGGATATGTAGCGACAAGACGCAGTAGAACAGTGGAGCATGTAAGAGCTAAAGAATTGGATCCAGTCCTCCATAAACGAAAGTGAAAGGAGACACAATCTTGAATTTGACTGACGGAGAGCAGGGTGTGCTGTCCTGCTGGAAGGTGTGCTGGGTTTGCAACCATGCTGAGGTGGCTGGTACGTGTCAAAGTAACATCCACATAAATGCCAGGACTTAAGGTTTCTCAGCAGCCTTCTCAGCATTGTATTGTAATCAGATGGCCAGTGTTATTCAGTTTACTGTGTATTCACCAGCCAGATACAGGACTGCAAAAGATTTTGTTTGATGCACTGTATGCTAACAAGCTTTAGGTATCAAGAGCTAAGGCAGGGGTGTCAAACTCTGGTCCTTGAGGGCCGCAATCCTGCATGTTTTAGATGTTTCAAATGATCAG